TGTGGAAATACATTTTAGACTTGTTTTTACTGGATTTGTGGGCAGATCATGGGCTTTGACTGATGTCGTCGCCGACAATATTGTTGTTGTGGGTACAGGAGAACTCAAATTTTTGAGTGGAGTACGTCATTTTTCCACCTTTATCTCCTGTCCATGGGTACAATTCTCTTCTAGACTGTCAAAGCACAAAGCAAGGTGGTTTCTCAACCGTCGGTGAACAATGTAGGGTTCCAAAGTGTGGCAGGGTATGCCATGGGGTGTAGTGATTCACAAGCAGCCTTTTTCAAAACTGATCAAGACAATGTATTCATCGGCTTGTCGCTTCACAATACGCAGGTGATTACTTCATCCTCCCACGGTCTACCTTTTGAGAGTTGTTCTTTAACATATTCTTTTTTGTCGATTTCACTTTATTTGAATTAAAGGTCCAAACCTTTGGGGTTTTCCCTGACCATAAAACGAAACAGTTATACTTCACTAGACAAGTTGAGGACTGTGTTGGAACGTTCTCTGTCGGATCATGGATGGGTGAGTGGAGTAACACTGTTGATTGAAAAAAAAGCATCAAAAACGAGAGTTCCCTTTAGTCTTGTGTAGATGTTGGGTATCTCTTTTTACTATGTTTTTAAATTTTAGCAATCGTCAGTATTCTCGTTATGGTTAGTGGTTTACTCTTTGGCTACCTGATGTTGAATTCTGTGCAAACAATGGACCGATTTGATGATCCCAAACACAAGCAGATCGTCATCAATGTCAGAGAGTAAATACGATCAGGAACAGCTATATCTGCAATCTCTTATGCCCTGCCTATGGGTATCCCTGCGAAACTTTCTTCTCGCTTTCTCAACAATTTGTAGGTTCATCTTTGTGTTAAGAGAAGCATTACTTGAGCGTTGGCGTGATTTATATTTATTGTTCGACCTTCGAAACAATCGTTGTCTATAGAGATTTGCTATCTGTGATGTGGTTCCGTTCATATTATCTGTTATGCTCTTTACAACCTTTTTTT